GATGCTACCTGGATTTTACTAAAAACAAAATAATTTTCATGCCTGAGGATGACTGAATGTACAGTTGAAAGTACTTGCAGATTAAAAAAAAAAAAGACCTTATACAGCTTGTAGTTATTAAAAACAAGTATCATAACATTCATCAAGTGATTCGTAGGTTAATGCAACTTTAAAATTTTGCTTGCGAAAGGATTTCACCATTTTATATCATTAACTTTACTTATATATATATATGTGTGTGTGTGTGTATGATTAACAACTCAATTAAGAAGTGTCCTCCCCAGATAAATTTATGATGTTTTGGCCACAGGAAAACATGTTTAACCATTATTTAGGACCAAATTTATCATTAAAAAAATTGGGGGAGGGAATCTTAGCCTGTAGAAATCCTGTAGTCAGTATCTTACGTAACACATTCATATTTGGTTTTCATTTGCCCATAAATATGTTCAATGGCATTAATTTAAAAAAGAAATATTTACATTAACAGATAAAAAAAATAAATAAAATAACAATGTACCTGGTATTTGAGATCAAAAATATAACAAAACTATCGATATACTTTTTAGACACTTGCTTTTGAAATAGAATAAAACAAATAAAAATATTTCAGCCCCTCTCAACAGTCAAACGGAATACGGCATAAATTCTTTGATCTTACAAAAAGTCTATTGATAGAGTTAAATTTTTAAATAAACAGTATTTATCTATGTGGTACATAGCAAATGAAAAATAATAGATTGTTTCCACAGAGAAAAGAAAAAAAAAAAAAAAGAAAGCCATAGATCAAAGAACTGGAGCCTCAAAAGAATCTTTGATGCCATTGATCTGTGAGAGTTGCAAAGAACGGCAGTAAAACCAAGGGTAGTAATAACATTGCAATCGCAGATACAGCTATCCCCACCCAAACATCATGACTCTTGCAGAAGTCAGTATAATGCGGAGAAATCAACACTGGAGATTAAATATTTTTCCCTGATGGATCTATTTCCAGAGAAAACTCCATAAAAACTTCGCTGTTTGGAAGCATGAAGTCTACTATCAACCATCCCTGTAATGGTACCAAAAAAACTGCCCACACTTCATATCTTTTGTGTTGGTTTTACTATTAAGCGGCGAGAGTTGCGATATCGCAACAAGTAAACATAAGTTAAATTTATCAAAAATAATATGTTTTTTTTTTAATCAATTTGTCCCAAGCAAGGTGATAATACAATGAAGACAAGGGGTTGCTGGGAGTAAAAGATAATACAATGAAGACAAGGGGTTGCTGGGAGTAAAAGATAATACAATGAAGACAAGGGGTTGCTGGGAGTAAAAGATAATACAATGAAGACAAGGGGTTGCTGGGAGTAAAAGATAATACAATGAAGACAAGGGGTTGCTGGGAGTAAAAGATAATACAATGAAGACAAGGGGTTGCTGGGAGTAAAATCTTAGAAGAAACCAAAAATCCAATCGTAAATAGGGAATCAGGTGATAAAGATCTACTCCTATTCAAAAGACAAGAGAGTAGCATGAACAGGATGAAAGGCTAACTCTGGGGAGTTGGCAACCTTTTGCTATGTGTCAATTTAGGGTTTTGAAATCATTCAGTGCGTCAACAAGCATACTTATTTTTATACAAGTGAAGGTCAATATACCTGTTCTACAATATATTATATATAGTAATATAAAGTATATATACTTTAGTATATATCAAAATTGAAACAGCTAAATATCTTCTTTGCGTTGTAGTAATTATTGGTTCAGATTTCGTGATGTCATTTGTGGCTATATGCCACTGGAAATTGCTTGGCGTGCCATGTGTGGTACACGTGCCATAGGTTGCCGACCCCTGGGCTAACCTGTCTATTGTCTCTTGAGTCATGAAATAAGTTAAGAAATGATGAGAGTAAAAGAGAATTTTTAATATTTATTTCTTCTTTGTAGAAAAGAGATAAAAGAAAAGAAAAAGAACAATAAAAAAAAAAAAAAAAAGAAAAAAAAAAAGATGGGTGGGGTGGGTGTGCAAGCATTTTACTTGAGATAAACAGACTTTTGTGTGAACTATATATATATATATATATATATATATATATATATATATATATATTTTTTTTTCACATTATTTGGGTGTATTAAATTATCGTTTCTTTTTCAATTTTGTATTAGGGTGTATTAAAAAGTACTCTGTTAACTTTACAGGCAGACACAAAGCCAATAAATGGTTCTAAGAAAATCTAGGAAAACAAAGGGGGAATTGATATATTTTGTTGAGAAACAAAACATGTAACTAGATTTAAAAACAAAAAAAACAAAAAACAAAACAAAACAAAAAACAAAAAAAAAAAAAACAAAAAAAAACCAAAAAAAAAAAAACCAGAAAAGAGTTAATTTTATAATAATTGGTGTTATAATAATTGGTATTTCCATCTTCGGTATAAGCTCATGAAAATACAGGTTTCTTACATTGCCAGACGATTAAACATGGAGGTATTGTCTTACATCTATATCACATTGAAACACCAGTTGTCGTCTGATCCCTAAAGTTAAGCATCACTGAATCTTATAGGTTGAAATTTCTAGGGAACATAATGAGGAAAGAGGGCTTGGAAAATCAGATACTCATAGGACAGATTGAAGGCAAGAGGAACAGAGGAAAACAATGCATAACCTATTTAGTGAGCTTCAGTAAATAAATGGAGGAATGTGGGTTAGGAGAAATAACAAAGACAAAATTTATTAACAGCTACAAAGGATGGGAGAAGTTGTGGAGAGCCATGATCGCCTACATCCTGAGGGGACATGACACATAAAATAGATTGGTAGTATTTCCATAAAAAAAAACATTTCTCCACATTTTTGAGGAATTTTAATCAAGAATAAATGACAGACAAAGATGGCACTTGTGAATCAAAATCCTTTTTTTTTTTGGACTTTTTGTACAGACTGAGAATTTAACACAAATTTTTCTACAATCTAAAATGAATATCTGAGGTCTTCATTAGAGTTTAAACGAATGATATTTACCTTAGAAAATGAAAAAATAAATACATAGCTATTGACATAATCCTGCATTTTGTTTTGTTGTTTAACAGCATATCAACACCTTATGGGTCATTTAATGCTGAAATTTAATTTTTTGGGAGCTTTGAAGTAATAAAAATGTTATTCTGCTTTCACAATTGAATACATGGTAGATCATACTCAGCTTTTTTGCATATACATGTTTGTATGAACATGTGATTTATGTTGTAGTTTTGTTGAAGTTATATTTTGGAAAAAAGTTTGATTTAAGAAATTGTACGATATTATATGGATTAATGTCATGAAAGAATTCTTTCATGTAGGTTGATTTTGTTTGATGGCATATCAACATCTCCATGGGTTATTTAATGTCGAAATATAAATATTTTTAAGTACAATTGTATGGTTTCAACTATAGATAAAATATATGTTGGTCATTTTGCTATAAAATGTATTCATAGTAATTCTACCAGAAAATATGTACTGTTGGGTCATTTTTTTTTTTTTTAATATAAAAATGCATTGTTGGTAATTTTACTATAAAAATGTATTTTTATACTTTCATAGTGTTTAGTTTTTGTTTGGGGGGGGGGTTCACTATTTGCCTATAGCTGGGACCCTAACAGATGCTACCACCCCAGGTTAGGGTAGACCTGGAACAATAGCAATTAAAAAGGTGGTTCTACACTCTTCAAAGCCTCCAATCTCTCAATAAGAGGCCTTGCTGCCGGATGTAGTTTATCATCATACCCAGGACTATGTACTCACAGTTGCTTAATAGAAGTACAGAATGCTTATTTATTTTGTAACAGTAAATTTTCTGACTCCCACCCAAGCTTATAAAACCACTGTTTATTAATTTCACTTTTCGTCAGAGCTTTAGCAGGAAAATTTAATTATAAAAGTCGATTCAAGTTTTTTTCTTTGCACGCTTTTATGATTGTTTGAATAAATTGTATAAACAAGTTGTTTTATTTCCTTTGGTTTGACACCAACCTCGTCGCTTGGATTTCTTGCACTCTCTGATAAGATGATGGGAAACAAGTGTACTTCAGATTTTTTATGAGAGACAATATTTAATTTATGCAAGGTTTTTTTTTTCTTTGCATACTAATTAAATTGTCCCACAGCTCCTCCGTGTGCCACTGTCGCCTCTGATATATATATATATATATATATACACATAAATAAACACACACACATGTTTATGCAACGTTATTGGTCCTGACCTGGCATCTCGGCTTCTGCCACTTTTCCACTGCTCTGACATTCGTTCGGTTGGCAAGGTTGAATTTACTGCTATAAATATATATAAGCAGTAAATTCAATCTTGCTAACCGAATGACCCTTTGTGGCCGAGCTGTAAGGCACGTCAGGCTATATGACGGTTCTGTATAGGATACAGGTTCGAATCCTGTCGAAGGACAAATATTTTCTTTGAAAATTTCTCGGACATTCAGGCTGGTAAATGTTATTTAATACTGTTTGTTATAAACCGAGCATTTACTTAAATACTTGTATCTATAAAAAGAATGTTAAACATAAAAATGTCTTTAAATAATTGTCGGTCTTTGTCCATTTCATAATGTGTGACGTCATTTGTTTATATATATATATATATATATATATATATATATATATAGATAGATGTGGCCTGACGATTGCATATAGCATGAAACAGACTGTCGCCTCTAAGTGTTGACTTCTATGTTCACTTTTATATTTACACACGCTCTATCTCTGATATTGAGCACTTTATCCCATAAATATAGCACACCTTAAGACTATATATATTTAAATAAAATATGTAAAAAACAACAAAGATACAGACAGCAGTCTGAATGTAAATATATATTTAATTTTCTGATAATATAGGAAGGGCAAAGAATAGATCTGCTGGAATAGTGTGCAGTGTTAAAAACAACCAAGATAACGATAACCATCTATATATATAAAAAAAAAAAGAAAAAACACAAAATAATGAAAAGCCTTCAACGCAAAGAAATACATAAGAAAGCAAGAAGGGTTAAAAGAGAATTATTTGAAATGTAGAAGTCATTAAATGGCTGGGAAGATGGCCTAACAATTGTCTCTGAACGCCTTGGAGATTTTCAGCAAAGTCAAGTGTTGATATGGCAAACACGAGATTTAATTAACTGTGAACCAACTTTGCTATCTTTTATTAGGAGTTTATTTATTTGGAATTGTGACAAGACAGGAAGCAATAACAGGTACAAATTTTGTACCTCTTTTGTTGTTTATAACTCAGGTAGGTCAAGGTTTTAAGAACTGAAATTTATTTGATTTAATAGCAAGGATTGATGAGGTAGAGGCCACATTCACCGCCTTTTAAGCATACATACATAAATATATATATATATATATATATATATATATATATATATATATGTGTGTGTGTAAAAATATATAGAAAATAGGAAAAGAACTCGTTAGGTAAATAATCCAAAGTTCTTTAGTATTTTTGTTATTATTTTTAAAAAAAGTGCTCGATACAAAAGTAGAGCATAAATATAATTATTTATTTATAAATATGATTCCATCGCTACATAAGAGTTCTCATGTTTCAAAACAAGAGCCGAAAACTTCAATATATATATATATATACACACACACACACACACACACACACTGCAGTTCAAGAAAAAAGCAAAAAAGAAGCAAAACAGAAAAAAGAAGCAAAACAGAAAAAAGAAGAAAAAAAGAAAAGAAAAAAGAAAAAAAAAAAAAAGAAAAAAAAAAGAAGAAAAGAAAAGAGAAGAAAAAAAAAAAAAAAAAAAAAAAGAAAAAAGAAAAGAAAAAAGAAAAGAGAAGAAAAAAAAGAAAAGAGAAGAAAAAAAAGAAAAGAAAAAAAAAAAGAAAAGAGAAGAAAAAAAAGAAAAGAGAAGAAAAAAGAAAAGAAAAAAAAAAGAAAAGAGAAGAAAAAAAAAGAGAAGAAGAAAAAAAAAAAAGAGAAGAAAAAAAAGAAAAGAGAAGAAAAAAAAGAAAAGAGAAGAAAAAGAAGAGAAAAAGGTGAAAAATGTGAGCAAAAAAAGAGAGAAAAAGAAATAAAAAAATAAAAGGTGATAGAAAAGAGGAGGAATCAGAATGAAAGCAAAAACCTTATCCAAACAGAAAGGTGAAGATCTTTCAAGAATTCCTTACTTCACTGATTATTACATCTAATTTTGAAAAGTTCTATTTCAACATTTGATTTTATTAACAAACCTGAAGATGCAAAATTCAGATTTTGTCATCCTTAAGAAAATCATAAAAATAATAATTTTTTCATATCTGGAAGAGTTCATTTTTAAAAATGTTTATTTTTTTTTTTTCGTCTTCAAATGCAAACACATTATTATTTTAAACAGTACACACATTTGGCATGGACATCAAGTGTGTGTGTGTGCATGCAATGCAACGAAAGACACACAGAGATAAGCTGTATCAGGATGACGTACATATTCTTTATTAATACTAATTATGTATGAAAATGTATAATTAGCTTTTCTGGTCATATGTAGAGGTTCTATTAATAAATAAACCCTGTATCTTGGAGATTATGTCAATTTCTCAGTTTGGAACAATTAAACCTGTCTTTTGTTGGGTAATTAGAAGCAACCTGGTCTCACCACCTGTGAATGATGAGAAACTGTCAAATTATATGACATAAGTCAACAATAGAATTGTCATCAACTAACCAGTGTTCATTAAACTCAGGAAAGGTCTGATGGATAACTTGTCCCCTAAATTACAGAAAAATGAAAATAGAACATTTTGACAGATACAGTCACCAAAATTTCACAAAAATATCTTAAAACACTAAAGACTAGATTTTATTGAATAAAATTGCCATTGGCTTCAACCACGGCCTCCAGGCAACTTTGGAATCTCCTGGAACTCTTCTGGACGGTCTCCTTGTTTAAGTTGGTGAATGCTGCCATAATCCTTGCCTTCAGTTCATCTTTGTAGTCACAAGGAGTTTTGTTGGTCTGTCGCTCAACTATGCCCCACACACAATTATCAATGGGGTGGCAGTCTGGGGAGTTAGGTGGCTAGATGTAAGCACTGGTTGCAGAAATTGTCTGACAGCCATGACTGGGTTTTCCTGCTTATGTGGCATGGTGCAGAGTCCTGTTGCCAGACATAAAGTCTTCCAGCAGCCAACCTCTTGACCCAGGGCTGTACTACCTCTTGATAGGACTTGATGTAGGCCTCCATGTTGAGTCTGAGGCCCTGACCAGCAAATTTTATCAGAATGATCAGAGTGACTTTTCCAAGCTGCCTTACCTTCGTAATCACCATTAAACTCATCCAACTCTTTCTGAATCCTCTGCACTGTCCTCAGATTGACACCCAAACACTCTGAAATGTTTGTATTGGAGCTTCTGGCACAAATGGCAAGCAATATGTAGTGTAGCAATTTTTAACATGTTTTTGTTTTAAATTCCTAAAATAAATTATATATATACATATATATATATGCCATCATCAAATGACTTTAAGAGATGTAAAACACATAAACAGCATCGCTCTCTCAAAACATTTCTGGCAATTAAAGAATGATGGTAATACAGCCATTATTATATGGGATAGTGTAACAAGATCCAAATTTTACGATAGGAAAGGTGATAGATGTAATTTATACCTTGTTGAAAAATTAGTTATTTTAAAACACTCAAATAACCTTAGCTTATTAAACAAGAGAAATGAATTGATTGTTACATGTAGGCATAAAAATAAATGTCTGCTGAAATATGTTGATCCAGATTAATTTTTCATATAAATTATGGTTTGCTTTTTATCTTTTGTTATTTAAAAAAAAAAAAAAAAAAAAAAACAGTAATCTCCCTTTATGCTTAATATAACAAATTAAAATTCACAACCCTAGAGTTTATATATATATATATATATATATATATATATATATATATATATATATATATATATATTCGATGCCAAATTTCTTTTAAATCATAAGCTGTAATCACCCTTATATTATTTGACTACGCCAAAATAACAGTCACCAAATATTTTTTATGAAAATTTAAATTATATAATAGTCAGTCTATACTCAGCATCTGAAGATTGTGTTGTGCACGAAACTCCAAGTCATGCTACTGGTGAAGGATTATATAAAATAAATAAAATAGTCATGGATATTTTTTTAATTTTTATGTAAGTGTGTATAAATAAAAACATATAAAAGAAAGAAAACTTGGGCTATAAAAAATAAACAAACTTCAAAAGCGAAACAAGATATATTGTAAAATTATTGAGTCATGAGAGAACAAATTTGGAAATTGTGGAAAAATTGGATGGAGATCAGAGAATGCAAAGAACAAGAAGAAAAAAAATAGTAGAGAAATTGAAAACATTGGCAAAATACAAGAAGAAAAAAAATTGACTTTACGAGATGCCATAAGAAGAGATTTTGGTAAAAATAAAGGAAGAAAAGTTGATTGTCCAGGAAGAAAATGTTTGAAAAAGCTGGTGTTGTAAAATATAAACAGGGGAAAAAAAAAGACACAGAAGATTAAAAGCATTAGCTGAAGGCATGAACGTCTGAGTATATCAGGGACATGCTCAGTACGATTCAGAATAAATAATTAAGAAATTAAATTAGGTTTTTCTGTTTCTTATTGTGTGGAGGTCAGGAAGAAATGGATCTTATAGATATGCAAATAATGCTTTGTGCCAAATGTAAGTACTGTCTGAATTGATCGATTTGTTTTTTATGGTTTATCAACCTTTTTTAGGTTATTTAAAGCCAGAAAATAATTTTAGATTTTAAGAATTTTTTTTTTTTTTCAGATAATAATGCTGTAGTGACAAGTTCTACAAATTAACCCATAGCCTTGGAGAGAGGTTTTGTGTGTACTTAAGTGAATATAACCCAACTGGAATTAGAACTTGGCTCTCTGAATTCAAATTCTGAGCCATTACCCTAGCCAAACATCCAAGCAGAAAGCGGTCACCCATCTAGGTACTGACAGGGCTCAATTTTATGTAACTTTAGAGAGCGTATGGGAACCAGTTTTGCAGCGTGATACAGCCATAAAGCTAACCTGGTTTTCTTTTTTAAACAGGCAAATCATTTTCTATTGGCCTAGAAATTGAAAAACTTTATATATATATATATATATATATATATACACACACACACACACACACACACATACATACATACATACACAGAGGGTGTCCATACACTTCGTGTGCACTTTAAAAAATTTATAACTTTATTTGTATTTGCAATAGAAATAATTTGTAAAAAGGATTAGAAAGAAGTAAATCTATATTTTTTAAGGTTTTATTAAAATTTCATTTAAGTTTCCACATGTCCTCCATCAATACAAAGAGTAATATGATTTTGCAGTTCATGGAAAACATTTGCCAACTGATTTACAGCAATGCCTGAAATCACATTAGTTATTTTAGCTCTACTTAAAACTAGGTACATTAAACTTTATAACATTTTTTACATTGTGTGTGTGTGTGTGTATGCATATGTATGCATATACTACATACACTGTTAAGCATTAAACTAATACAATCCAGTAAATAGAGGTTAACATTTTTTTTAATACTATGTTCAGTATCCTTTATATAGAGCAACATACAGTATAAATATTTCTTTTCCAGATCTTAATAAAAATTTACTTTTAGTGATGCATGAACTCAGTAAATTTTTATGTAGATTCAGAAAAATGTAATATCTACTATATATATAATTATATATATGATTTTAGCATTCATATATATATATATATATATATATATATATATATATATATATATATATATTTGTAGTAATTAAGTAGACTAATTATAGAGATGCCTATGCAAGCACACGCATATATTTTCATTGTAAATATATGTAATGAATTAGAAGTACATAGCATAAATTAAGCTATACACCATTGTGTATATATTTATAAATTCTAATTCATTATCTAAACAGTCAATCAGGCAGCGTCTAATTACAGCCGTACCTACACAATATATTCATGTATGTAATTAGATCTTAACGAAGTGCATTCATGAACAAATAAAAGCTGACTTAATCTGTTAAGCAAATCAAGACAAAGTGTAGAAGGATTAAATCTATTAAATTTGCAAAATTAATCAATAGTCATCCAAAAGGGACGTTGAACTAATATCCTCATCAACGTTATCATAGCCCTATTTGGATTTCTTTTGTTTTAATCTAAAATTGGGGGAATAAAACAGTTTAACATTTGGAATTTGAAAACACAAAGAAATAAATTTAAAAGCAATAATAAATGAATAAACAAAAATAAAAAAAACCCAATGAAGAACCCCCCAAAAAACAAACAAAAAAAACATAAAAACAAACCCCAATAAAGAATAAAAATCTAAACATGAAAACAAAATATCTAAACACAAAACCCAAACAACACGTTCCTTCCTCTTGTTAAGTGACAATGAACTTTATTAGTTAAGAAAGTATTTAAAACAATATCCTGATCCAATTTTCTTTCTTTTTCTGTCGAAAAAATTCTGAAACACATTGTCAATTTTTCAAATGATATTCAAATATCTTCATTACTGTTGTTTTTAATCACTGTCTACCAAGAAATCAACAGGTTTTCTTTGATAAAAGATTAAATGAGAAAAATGACAATCAAGAACAGAACTTGTAGATACCAAGGTGCAGTTAAGCCACAAATACGATAAAGAATTTCAATAAAAAAAATAAAAAATTTTTATATATATATATATATATATATATATATATATATATACATATACATACATACATACATACTCCCCCACCTTACAATTAGCACATTTGAGTTTCATGCACAATGCAATCAGGTGTAGAGTTAAGACAGTTTATAACTTATAGCACTGTTATATTACATCAAGCACACAATGTGCTATATATAAAATATATATGGGCATTTAGCAGTGGTTAGAACATTAGCTTTCTGGCCATGAGACCCATGTTTGAATCTCACCAGGGTCAATTTATCAGGAAGGAGATTTCCTGATGTTATCGGACTGGAGCGGGGGTTGACCCCAGCATGTGACACCTTTGGAAAGTGCCTGAAAATCATACCATGGGTTGACCTAAACCTTGTAAGTAAAACTGGGT